CTAGGCTGGTCTCGAACTCCTGGGCTCAAGGAATCCTCCCGCCTTGGCTTCCCAAAGTGCTAGGTTTACAGGTGTGAACCACCACACTTGGCCAATTATGCCTTTTTTACAGATAAGAAAATGAAGGCTCAGAAAGGTTCAGTAGCTTTCCCAAGGTCACAATGAATAAGCCAGGAGTTGAATATAGGTCCATGCAATTCCAAAGCCCAAGTTTTCTTCATTTCACTATGCTATTGTCAGAATTATCCATGGTGCTCACAGCTGTGGGGATAGACACATAAGACAAATACCACCTGAACAGTGAGATTAGCAAGCCAATACAGGTTTGAACAAAGTTCTTTGGGGTGACATATGGAAGGGAAGAATGTGTTCTCTCTGAGGGAGGGGGGGGCTGGAGAAGCTTCGTGAGGTTGCCAGAATGCTTGGGAATTTGTTCACTGGTTTCACAATGAAGGTTCAAGGTAGAAAATTGTTCCCTGGGCCAAATACTCGTGGTTGGTTTTGGGGGCCACAGCAGCCATTGCCCGGGTCACCATTGCTTCCAGATTGAACCATCTGGGCGCCAGGAATATAGCCCAAATTCCTGCTGGTACCTGCTTAAGTGACAACTGGTAACCAGGCAACCCAGTCAGCACATCGTTTCATTAAAATCGTGTGTGTGTGTGTGTGTGTGTGTGTGTGTGTGTGTGTGTGTATGAAAACTATTTGTCATAATCACAGTTTTAGTCTTACATGATCTACTTTAAATTTAAATAAAATCAATGCATTTTCAAGCTTATGGCTATACGGAATCGGGCTGTAACCCCTAATTATGTGTTAGTTTCTCTTCCTGCTTTTGGCCTTTAACTGCAGGCATCCCTGGAGGCTGCTTTCTCTATATTCTCTCCTTCAGGGAATTAATCTATTTTCAAGGCTTGAATGACTGTAAGATTTCTATAAAATTAAGCTTAAAACTGCAAGCAAGGCATCACTTTAAAATGTATTGTATAATACCTTCTTTGTCTGCTCCCAGGCTTTTGTGAGGGAAAGCACAGTAGGCAGCCGGATGCTGCTACAGGAGCTGGGCACCAGGCAATTAGGATGACTCTAAACTGCCCCATTTCCTAGCTGTGTAGCCTTGGGCAAGTTACTTAACCTCCTTAAGCCTACAATCCGGAGCTATAAAAGAGTGAAAATAATATTATCCTACTCATAGGACTATTGTGAAAATTACTGAAATCATGCAAAGGCACTGGTTTGTTCGAAGTAACCAGAAAGTGCTAGTTGTGACGATAATCATGATGACTGTCATCATTAGTAGGATGAAGCAATTTGTATGACAGTGATTTGAAACCTACGAAGTGCTATACACGTGTGAAACATGATAATCTGTTGAGTGAGATTTAAAGAGCATGGTAGAAAGAGCAGTGAACAGGAAGTCAGGAGAGCCAGATCCTAGTGCTACACCTGCCACGAACCAGCGGTGGGACCTTGGGCCAGTCTCTCTCCGAGCTTCAGTTTTTTTACTTGTAAATGAAGCAGTTTAATTAGGTCCATCCCAGCTTTGAAATCCTATGATTCCATGACTGCTAGAGCAAATAACTTCTAGAAATTGTACGTAGTTCCTGGAACAGAGTAGAAGGTTCATAGACATTACATACACCAATGACCAAAGTACCTTTCTGGAGATGATAAAAGTGAACCCCAACTGTGACAATCAGAAAGTGGAATCTAGGAGGATGAAAAAGCAAACTATTCCTCCCCACTTCCGGAGTTTTGGAGGACATTGCTGTGGCAGGAGATAATTTATATCTAAAATGGCAATACAGATATGTCCAGCATCTGTATACGTAGGAAGTGGGTGCAAGAACCCTTGGGATAATTTGGATTTGTGGCTTTGGATAGTTATGTTGTGCTGGCAACCACCCACACAGCCAGTAGGGCCCCTGGCTTCTTGCCTTCCTTGCGCTGAGTGGGCACTGCCTAAGTGCCAGACGCGGTGGTAGACTCGGAGGCTACTGAGACATAGTCTCTGTTCTCAAGGAGCTGACGATCTATTGGGTAAAGCATTTTAACCGCAGAGGATACTTTTACATCTTCAGAGTAGTCCTGCACGGTGCTTATATCATTTATATATTGTCTGTCTATTATTCTGTGAAAACAGAGCTGTTTGTGTATCCAGTATTGGCTTGCTTCTCCACCCTCAGCCCCCCAGCTGCTTCTGGATGTTAAATATTATCTCTTCATGCAAGTGGTACCAGAAGGAAGAGTCATCTGTTACTCTTTCACTTCCTTAATGAGCCCTCAGGCTGGTTTGCAGGGCAGCAATCGATCTTTTTTGTTATTTTTTTCTAGAGGACTGATCAGTTCAAATTTAGCTGCTTGGCCTTGCTCTCTCCTAGGACTCAAGTTTGATTCTTCTTGTCCCCTTTCCACCTTTCCCCCAGATAAAACAAAATAACCAGAAACAATAACCAAAAGTAGTCAGTAGGGCGTGGTGGCAGCACTTTGATGGATAGACCAAATATTTCTTCTGCTACTATGGCAACTACAATTAAATGCCTTGTCACTTACCTTTAATGCTCTTTGGAAATGTGAAAGTTACTTTGTATATGTGCTTAAAATCACCTCAATTACCTAAAAACTTTCATCTCCCTCCAAGATTCTTCTTAATGGGACTTTTACTATTTTCTTCAGATATTGTTGTAAATGCAAAATGTAATCTTGATAAATTTCCCCAAACTATTTGACTTCTCCAAATATTTTCATATTCCCTGAGAATGACAAGGATATTATGAAAATCATAAGAGAAACATTTTCCATAAAAACACTTAATTAAAAATAAAAAACTTGACTCTTAAAGATACTTCCAATTATCTGGAAAACTGATACTAGATAACTGAGTGCTCATTCAACAACTCATTAGATAAACATGTATTAAATGTCTAGAAGTGTCAGGCATCATGCAAATTACTGCAGGCATAAAGGAGATTAAGAAATGACTGCTGCTTTCAAGGAGCTCAATCAAAGTTGCTTGCTTTATGTCTGGTATAAATACTTAATAGTTTACAAAATAGTTCACCATTCAACAGCTCATTTCATCCTCAGAAACCAATCCTGGTTTCATACTTAATGAACTTGAGATTTCTTGTTGCTCACTGTTATTTGGGAAACAGAATGTTTATTTGATGATGATGTTAGTATTTTCCATTATTCCTGGTTTGATTAACAGTTTACAAAGTGCTTTCATGTCTCACTGGAAACACAAGTTTTTTTTTTTAAATCTTCTCACCTGGGAGTAGGTGGGGAGCTAAAATGACTTCTCAAGTTCTCTGTGAGTGCTATTAAAAAAACCAGCAAGCTCTCCTGTATACCCAATGTGGGGACCTGGGCTTGGATTCCTTTTCCACCAAAGCCTTTAGGCCCCAATCTCACAAGTTCATTCCTACTTCATTTGTGTTCTTCAGTCTTCCTTTATACCATTCCTGTTAATGCCTTCCAGGTCATTTGCCATCTTAGAATATTGTTTCTGTAAAAAAAAGAAAAAGAAAAATAGAAGAAACAGAATTTAGTGTCAATGCCAAAGTCACACAAATAAATGGTAGAGCTGGGCTTGGACCTGACCAGATTTTTTTTTTTTTTTTTGTCAGTGTTTTGCTCTGTTGCCCAGGCTACAATACAGTGACATGATCATGGCTCACTGCAGCCTCAATCTCCTGTGCTCAGGCAATCCTTCTGCCTTAGTCTACCGCGCAGCTGGAACTGCAGGGATTTGCCACCACACCTGACTCATTCTTGGAATTTTTTGTAAAGGCAAAGTCTCATATGTTGCCGAAGCTGGCCTTGAACCCCTGGGCTCGAGCAATCTTCTCACCTCTGCCTCCCAAAGTGCTGGTATTACAGGCATGAGCCATGGTGTCTAGCCTTGACCAGATGTCTTTTAAAGGTATCATGCTGTCTTTAAAAGCTACCAGTCAAATGAAACATTCCTCCCAGAATAACATGTGCTTTTCGTATATTGGCAGTCTATAAATATTTGGTTACTGTTGCAATAGAGGTCTACCCAGTTCTATATTTTGCAAATTATATTGCATGTTTTCAGCTCTTCCAGGAATTATATATGGTGAGAGCACAAATCCTAACCACTAGACCACCAGGGACCCAGGATTTACATGGTCTTTTTTTTTTTTTTTTTTAAGTAGGAGTCTCACTCACCAGCCATTCCAGCATTGACCTGCTGGGCTCAAGCGATCCTTCCAAGTAGCTGGAACTACAGGCATGCGCTAATTTTTTGATATATTCTAATTTTTTGATATATTGTAGAGATGGGGTCTTGCCAAGTTGCCCGGGCAGCTCTTGAACTTGTCGGCTCAGGTAATCTACTCGCCTCGGCCTCCCAAAATACTGGGAGCCACTGAGCAGGGCTTAGATGATCTTTGAAGCAACAATCATTTACTGAGCATCTACTATGTGCCAGGCATGATATAGGCATTGGGAACATGAAAATCACTAGGCTTTGGCCTGACTTTACGTATTCTTCGTATTTGTGTAGGATCTTTCAACATTGGATCATTAATAACCATACAGTTTTGGTACAGAAGATGGTGTAAATGCGAGAAAATTAGTATTAAGAATTGAACTCTAGCAAGGTGTTTGTGTGCAGACTTTAAGCCTTTACCTGTACATCTAGGATTTGGGTGCTGCGGACCCGAGAACCACGATTTAAGTGATGCCAAGTGTGGTTTTAAAAGTCTCCCAGATTTGCTACAAAAATGTCAACAAGGTTAGTTTCGGGTCAACTAATTCCCTTTCCTTGTGCTTTCCTCTTTTTTCCCTTGCAACGGGCTCCACCTCCAGCGAGGGCAAGGGGCACCCGAGCGGGAGAAGCAGGGCGCGTGCGGCGGGAGCAACCCCTCGGGGCTGGGCGCGTGGCCGGGTGGCCTCGCGGGCTGCCCTTCCGCCGGCCTCGGGGCGTGGCCGGCGCCATCCGGCTCTTCCTGCCACTCTCTCCGCCGGGCCATGGCGGCGGCGCTCTGCGGGCAGTGCCTCCCCCGGGCGTGGCTCTGCAGGTGCGCCCCGATCCCTCCCCGAGCCCTCCCCGAGCCCTCCTGGGGCCGCCCTGAGAAGCGCCTGGGGGCGGCCGGCCTGACCCTCCTCGTTCGGTGTTGCAGGAGAGCCGGGCTGGCCCGTGGCCGGCACTACCGCGCCGCGTTCTGCGCCGAGCTGGAGAAGCCCCTGACCATCGAGGAGGGGGCCCCCCGCCCCGTCGGGCCCCACGAGGTAGGGTGACCGGCCTGTCCCCTCTCGCCCTCCGCGACTCCCGCCACCCCGCGTACCCCGCCTACCCCGCCGGCCTCCTTCTTAGCTGAAGTTCCCAGGTCCCAAGCTAGGGGGCGACCGGGAGACCGGAGGGCCACTTTGTCTCGGAACAGGAGGTCGAAGCTCTTTCCAGGTTCACAGAAGAGCTAAATGCGGAGGGAAGATTGTTTCCTGAAACGCACGCCTCTTTTGGAAGGCTCCAGAGTTTTTGCCTTAGAAACCGAGAATTCTGACTTGCACACGGCTTTGTATATGCAAGTTATTGACAACACAGATACGCGGACCCCGTCCTTTGCCTCTTTCCTCTTCAGAGTCAACATCCTATTATTATTATTTTTTGAGTCGGGGTCTCACTCTGTTGCCCAGGCTGGACTGCAGTGGCAGCTCACAGCAGCCTTGACCTTTGGGCTTTGGCAATCCTTCCGCCTCACCTCCTAAGTACCTAGACATATCCAGCTAATTTTTTTTGTAGAGACAAAGTCTTGTTGTGTGGTCCAGGCTGGTCTTGAACCACTGGGCTCAAGCAATCATCCGGGCTCGGCCTCCTAAATTTCTAGGATTACAAGTGTGAGCCACTGAGCCCGCTAACATAATTTTATTTGATCTTCCGCCTTCCCAAACCAGCCTGCTAACCCCCTGTACTGTATTTCCATGCGCACCTGTGCCTCTGCTCCCCTTCTGGTGTACTGCAGTGGTTCCAGCTGGGGTTAGTCCAGGGTGTTGGCAGTCCCACTAAAGTGTGGAAGCCACTTTGGCCTTGCCTGCTGAGCACTCTGGTACCACAGTGTCATCTGGTGTGGAGAGAACCTCTGCCCAGAAGAAGCAGGCAGGGGGCCTTAGCATTTGGGACCACTGGCCAGAAGGAAGAATGCAGCTGCAGTCCTAGTTACCAACAAGAGCCTGTGGCTAAAATGAATGATTTGGGTGAGCGCATGATGGCAGCCACTCTGCTTCCTGGGATTCACATGCTGAGAGATGTTCATCCTGGAATCGTCCTTAAATCCAAATGGAGTGACTTGAAATGCCTGTGTGCTGCCCACTGCGCTTGTTGATAACTGATGTGTCCTGTCAGAATGTGCCCAGACTGAGGGCTGGGCTCCTCTGTTCTGTTATTTGTCCAAACATTGTGTTGTAAGGAATTAGCTTGTGAGTGCTGTGACTATGTTAGTTTTACTCACCGTTAAATCCTCGTAGTCTGAAATGGTGCCTGGCATGCGGCACAGGCTCAAAAAACTGTTGATGATGAATTTTGTAGATAAAAATGTCTTCTCACAAATATGGCTGGCTCTGTATTACATTTAAACAAGCATCTTTGGTCTCAGTCTTCATTTCCTCCTTTGAGTCCAGCCCCTGTTGGGATGTGTTGGTCTGTGACAGTGGTTGTCTAGTGTGTATCAGAATGACTTGGGGCCTGTTAAAACAGATTGCTAGGCTTTGTCTCACAGTTTCTGATTCAGTTGGTCTGGGATGAAACCTGAAAATGGAATTTCTAACCAGTTCCCAGGTGATACTGATACTGGTGGTCTGGGACCACAGTTTGAGAACCACTGGCTTATAAGGCCTGGAGAAACTGCTGGCTCCGCTGCTAAGGGTATGCCTCAGTTGTGGCGTTATCATGAGACATGGAGGCTGGTGATCTAGGACCAGCCTTCAGGACTTAAGATTCCCCCAACAGCAGATCATGCTAATCTTCTGTCTACAGCCTTTTTTTTTTTGAGTCGGAGTCTCACTCGGTCGCCCAGACTGGAGTGCAGTGGCCGCTCCCAGCCA